AAAACAGAGGAAAGTTATTTTAGTGCCAGAAAAGTCTGCAGTGTTTGTAAATGGCCAAGCCGGACCGAAACGTCGTCATAAGCTCCTCTCTTCTATGTGCGGGGATTTTGTGTAATGTTCCAGTCACGGTATTTTGCCTTTTTTTTGTTATTCTGGGCCCTATTTTGAAAATGGAATAAATTTTTAACTTTGTGTGAAACTGGCCAAATTACCAATTTCTGATCACCTTATCAAAATAGCTGAAAATAGTTGATTGGACGCTTTCTTGTGCTCAATCAAGAAAACAGAAGAACAGTGGACCCCGGTTAACGATATTTTTTTCACTCCAGAAGTATGTTCAGGGGTCAGTACTGACCGAATTTGTTCCCATAAGAAAATTGGAAGTAGATTAGTCCATTTCAACCCCCAAACATACACGTACAAACGCACTTACAAAAAATACAACTTATATAATTGGTCGCATTCGGAAGTAATCGTTATGTGGGGGTCCACTGTAATACATACTAGCAAAAAAATTAAGAATTCGGTAGGGTGGAATAATGTAATTTGCCAAAAATGGGAATCAATATGGTAAAATCACCGATGCGTAAATATCGATGATGCAGCAAAATTTTATCAGTTTTTCATCAAATTCCGTACATTTGTTTTATTACTTTCAGAAAATGATTCTTTACCATTTCATAAGAAAAAATAACAAAAAATCTTTTGGAAAATTCTTGGACCCTGTGGACAAGTTTCAGATCGGTGGTCTGGACGCTAAAAGGGTTAACCCCTTGACTGTCGCAACCCCAAATCCTGAGGTGTCTCCTGTCTTCAAAAATTTTGAAAAAAAAAAAAAAAAAAAAAAAAAAAAAAAAAAAAAAAAAAAAAAAAAAAAAATTGCTTATGAAATGATAATCTTTTCCCGATGGTAATGACACCAAAAGAACAAAATTTGATGGCAAACTTATGGAATTACGCTCTTGCGAAGTTAGCGGCCTCAGCGACATTTATGAATCGGCGATTTTGCCCAATTTGAGCCCTATTTTCAGCTAATTCCATTGTTCCAGTCGACCAAACTCATAGCTATTTCTTTAGAACTCCATTTGTTCTATCGATTGAGTACAGGAAACTACCCATTTACCGATTTCAACTACCCAATAATGTGGTCAGAAATTTGCAATTTGGCCAATTTCACGCAAATTAAAAATATGACAATTTCAAAATAGGGTCCAGAATGAACAATGCAGACATTCCTGGCTCTAAAATAACATTTTCTTTGTTCATCAGTCATGTCTCCAGGCCCCTCTGATATTACTCTTGCTTTCTATTTTGAATTTTTATTCAAACAAAAAATAGAAGATTTACTGTTATGCAGACTACTGCAATACGTAATAATTGTATAAATAATGTCAACCCATTCATGACTGCATATTAGAATGGCTAGTTGGACATTTATTGAACAATGACATCATTTGTTTACTTTTGAACACTGGCAAAAATCAAACATTTTCCCTAATTTGAGCTCCATTTCCAGGCTCTTTTCATAGTAAAACCAATCAAAACCACCTCTATTTCTACAATATGTTTTCCATTCTATCAAATGAGACCAAGAAAATGGGAATACAACCATAAATACAGTGGACCCCCGCATAGCGACCTTAATCCGTGCAAGAGGGCTGGCTGTTTATGCGAAATGTTCGGTATGCGAATGAATTTTTCCCCGTAAGAAATAATGGAAATCAAATTAATCCGTGCAAGACACCCAAAAGTATAAAAAAAAAAAATTTTTACCACATGAAATGTTAATTTAATACACACAAACTGAAAAAGGCATGCACAATTACATGACACTTACTTTTATTGAAGATCTGGTGATGATTGATGGGATGGAGGAGGAGAGAGAAAGTGTTAGTGTTTAGAAGGGAATCCCCTCCATTAAGACTTGAGGTGTCGAGTCCTTTTCTGGGGTTACTTCCCTTCTTCTTTTAATGCCACTAGGACCAGCTTCAGAGTCACTGGACTTCTTTCGCACAACATATCTGTCCATAGTGGCCTGTACCTCTCGTTCCTTTATGATTTGTCTAAAGTGGTTCACAACATTGTCATTGTAACAGTCACCAGCACGGCTTGCAATAGCTGTGTGAGGGTGATTTTCATCAAAAAAGGTTTGCACTTCAAGCCATTTTGCACACATTTCCTTAATCTTTGTAGTAGGCAACTCCTTCAATTTCTCTCTCCCCTCCTTTGAACCAGTTTCCCCAGGTCTGGCCTCTTGCTCTTGAAGTTGATCTATCAGCTCATCAGTGGTTAGTTCTTCATTGTCCTCCTCCACCAACTCTTCCACATCCTCCCCACTAACCTCCAACCCCAAGGACTTCCCCAATGCCACAATTGATTCCTCAACTGGTATACTCCTATCAGGGTTAGCCTCAAACCCTTCAAAATCCCTTTTGTCTACACATTCTGGCCACAGTTTCTTCCAAGCAGAGTTCAAGGTCTTCTTAGTCACTCCCTCCCAAGCCTTACCTATAAGGTTTCTACAATTGAGGATATTAAAGTGATCTCTCCAAAACTCTCTTAGAGTCAGTTGAGTTTCTTAGGTCACTACAAAGCACCTTTCAAACAGAGCTTTTGTGTACAGTTTTTTGAAGTTTGCAATAACCTGCTGGTCCATGGGCTGCAGGAGAGGAGTGGTATTAGGAGGCAAAAACTTCACCTTAATGAACCTCATGTCCCCATAAAGTCGCTCTGCCACGTCTGTAGGATGACCAGGGGCATTGTCTAACACCAGGAGGCACTTAAGTTCTAATTTCTTTTCAGTTAGGTAATCTTTGACATTGGGGCAAATGCATGGTGTAACCAGTTATAGAAAAAGTCCCTAGTGACCCATGCCTTACTGTTTGATCTCCACAGCACACACAGATTATCCTTGAGGACATTCTTTTGCCTGAACGCTCTGGGAGTTTCAGAGTGATACACTAATAAAGGCTTAACTTTGCAATCACCACTAGCATTGGAACACATCAACAAGTAAGCCTGTCTTTCATAGGCTTATGTCCTGGAAGTGCCTTTTCTTCCTGAGTAATGTAAGTCCTGCTTGGCATTTTCTTCCAAAACAGGCCTGTTTCATCACAATTAAACACTTGTTCAGGTTTCAGTCCTTCAGTTTCTATGTACTCCTTGAATTCCTGCACATATTTTTCAGCCGCTTTGTGGTCCGAACTGGCAGCCTCACCATGCCTTATCACACTATGTATGCCACTACGCTTCTTAAATCTCTCAAACCAACCTTTGCTGGCCTTAAATTCACTCACATCATCACTAGTTGCAGGCCTTTTTTTAATTAAATCCTCATGCAACTTCCTAGCCTTTTCGCTTATGATAGCTTGAGAAACGCTATCTCCTGCTAGCTGTTTTTCATTTATCCACACCAATAAGAGTCTCTCAACATCTTCCATCACTTGCGATCTCTGTTTCGAAAACACAGTTAAACCTTTGGCAAGAACAGCTTCCTTGATTGCCTTTCTGTTGCCCACAATAGTAGAGATGGTTGATTTGGGTTTCTTGTACAACCTGACCAGGTCGGTGATACGCACTCCACTTTCATACTTATCAATGATCTCTTTCTTCATCTCTATTGGAATTCTAACCCTTATTGCTGTAGGGTTGGAACTAGAAGCTTTCTTGGGGCCCATGGTCCACTTATTTTCCAGAAACAGCACCGAAAACACTGTAATAAAAACGAAATATTTCCGATTGTATGCTTGAATGTTACCGCGGAGGCTGGCTGGTAAACAATGCCACCGGCGGAACATATGAGGCTGGCTCAGGCCGCACACTGGACGCGTCTCGGACGAAGGGCGCTGAGCGGGTTTTTGGGCGGTATGCGAGGCAAAATTTTAGCGATCAAAGCATCCGGTATGCGGATTGTCCGTTATGCAAGGCGTCCGGTATGCGGGGGTCCACTGTACTATACAAAAATGCACTGCAAAGTCGGCATTTTAATCCAAAAACACGGTCGGAGATTTTTTTTCTCTTTAAATGCACTGTGTGCTGCAGGATTTTTTTATATAGCGCACACTGACCACACAGACCCATTCTCTCATATGTGGGCCTACCAGCTTTTTCCTGCTTGATTTGAAGCCGCTAGAGTTTTTGAGTACATATGTACGTCAAACACGGTGGCTCGTAAGACTTAATATAATTTACCGAAACAGCCAAAGGGTTAAACATTAAAGATTCTTTATTTTAGCACAATACAATGTTTATAAAGAGATGGATGGCATTTAGGTGTGCATGAAAAAATCCCTTATATGTATATTAAGACTAATAAGGCAATAATTAATTGATTACTTTCATATAAAGGTCTCTAAGAGGTTCTAACAATAAATTTAGGAATTTCAATGAACACTTTTATTGATTTTGTTTTAAGGATTACAGGTTGGCTGATTTTTTTTTTTTTTCGACAAGTCGGCCGTCTCCCACCGAGGCAGAGTGACCCAAAAAAGAAAGAAAATCCCAAAAAGAAAATACTTTCATCATCATTCAACACTTTCACCTCACTCACACATTATCACTGTTTTTGCAGAGGTGCTCAGAATACAACAGTTTAGAAGCATATCCATATAAAGACACACAACATATCCCTCCAAACTGCCAGGAACGACAGCGGATTTTTTTATATCTTATAGATTATAAAAAATAATCAGGCTGTAACTTTTGCAAAGAAAAAATTTTATACTTGTATTTGTATTCTGTATTAATGTACAGTGGACCCCCGCTTAACGATCACCTCCAAATGCGACCAATTATGTAAGTGTATTTATGTAAGTGCGTTTGTACGTGTATGTTTGGGGGTCTGAAATGGACTAATCTACTTCACAATATTCCTTATGGGAAAAAATTCGGTCAGTACTGGCACCTGAACATACTACTGGAATGAAAAAAGTTCGTTAACCGGGGGTCCACTGTATTTGGAACAGTCAATACATTAAGAGAATTTATTAGCTAATACTCACCTCTCTCTCAGACAAAACAGTTACAGCAAAGTTCTGAAGGTCAAGACGGAGTGCTTCAGCGGCTCGTGACTTCAGGGTACCCATAGTCTCACTGATGTCCATGTCGATTGCATAAATTTGCACTGGAGCACTGTGGAAATACATTACCAATGAACAGAAATACAATAATGAAAATAAATCATAATACACGAAATGCATTGCATGTTAGTGGATTTTTTTTGTCCCTAGCAATATTTTATTACATGTAAATTACATTATCTCTATACTGTATTTCATAAAAAATACAGTACTTGTATTTCCACCATGTTCACCTATCATTATAAAATGGGCACTAGGGTGTTAGTGGACTGGTGTGGGTCACATCCTAGGTGTTAGTGGACTGGTGTGGGTCACATCCTGGGTGTTAGTGGACTGGTGTGGGTCACATCCTGTGTGTTAGTGGACTGGTGTGGGTGGCATCCTGGGTGTTAGTGGACTGGTGTGGGTCACATCCTGGGTGTTAGTGGACTGGTGTGGGTCACATCCTGGGTGTTAGTGGACTGGTGTGGGTCACATCCTGGGTGTTAGTGGACTGGTGTGGGTGGCATGGTGGGTGTTAGTGGACTGGTGTGGGTCACATCCTGGGTATTAGTGGACTGGTGTGGGTCACATCCTGGGTGTTAGTGGACTGGTGTGGGTCACATCCTGGATGTTAGTGGACTGGTGTGGGTGGCATCCTGGGTGTTAGTGGACTGGTGTGGGTCACATCCAGGGTGTTAGTGGACTGGTGTGGGTCACATCCTGGGTGTTAGTGGACTGGTGTGGGTCACATCCAGGGTGTTAGTGGACTGGTGTGGGTCACATCCTGGGTGTTAGTGGACTGGGTGGGTCACATCCTGGGTGTTAGTGACTGGTGCGGGTCACATCCTGGGTGTTAGTGGACTGTGTGGGCATCCGGTGTTAGTGACGGTGGGGGTGGCATCCGGGTGTTAGTGGGCTGGTGTGGGGGGCATCCTGGGGTTAGTGGGCTGGTGTGGGTCACATCCAGGTGTTTGTGGGCTGGGGTGGGCACATCCTGGGGTTAGTGGACTGGTGTGGGTCACATCCAGGTGTTATGGACTGTGTGGGTCCATCCTGGGTTTAGTGGACTGGTGGGGGTCACATCCGGGGTGTTAGGGCGGGTGGGGGTCACATCCTGGGTGTTAGTGGACTGGTGTGGGTGGCACCGGGGGTGTTAGTGGACTGGGTGGGGGCATCCTGGGTTTAGTGGACGGTGCGGGTCACATCCGGGGTGTTATGGACGGGTGGGGGTGGCATCCTGGGTGTTAGGACTGGGTGGGGGGGCATCCGGGGTTTAGGGACGGGTGTGGGGGGCACCTGGGGTTTAGGGGACGGGTTTGTGGGGTGGCATCCTGGGTGTTAGGGGCGGTGGGGGGCATCCTGGTGTTAGGGGCTGGTGGGGTCACATCCGGTGTTAGGGGGACGGTGTGGGCACATCCTGGGTGTTAGTGGACGGGTGTGGGTCACATCCAGGGTGTTAGGGGATGGTGTGGTCACATCCGGGGTGTTAGGGACGGTGTGGTCACCCCGGGTGTTAGGGACGGGTGGGGTCACATCCTGGGTGTTAGTGACGGGTGTGGTGGCATCCGGGGTGTTAGTGGACTGGTGGGGGTCAAAATCCGGGGGTGTTGGGACTGGTGTGGGTCACATCCGGGGTTTTTAGGGGACGGGTGGGGGTCACCCCGGGTGTTAGGGGAGGGTGGGGTCACATCCTGGTTTTAGGGACTGGTGGGTCACTCCGGGTGTTAGTGGACTGGTTGGGGGGCATCCTGGGTGTTATGGACTGGTGTGGGTGGCACCTGGTTTATGGACTGGTGTGGGGGCATCCTGGGGTTAGTGGACTGGTGTGGGTGGCATCCTGGGTTTTAGGGACTGGTGGGGTGGCTCCAGGGGTTTAGTGGACGGGTGGGGGTGGCATCCGGGTGTTAGTGGACTGGGGGGGGTGGCATCCTGGGTGTTAGGGGACGGTGTGGGGGCATCCGGGGTGTTAGGGGACTGGGTGGTCACATCCTGGGTGTTGGGACTGGTGGGGGTCACATCCGGGGTGTTAGTGGACTGGTGTGGGTGGCATCCGGGTTTTAGGGGACGGTGGGGGTGGCATCCTGGGTGTTAGTGGACTGGTGTGGGGGGCACCCTGGGGGGTAGTGGCTGGTGTGGGGCATCCGGGTGTAGTTGACTGTGGGGGGGCATCCGGGTGTTAGGGGACGGGGTGTGGGTCACACCCGGGGTGTTAGGGGACTTGTGGGGTTCAACCTGGTGTTAGTGGAATGGTTGGGTCACTCCTGGGTGTTATGGACGGGTGTGGGTCACACCTGGGTTAGGGGCAGTGTGGGTCACATCCAGGGTGTTATGGACGGGTGAAGGTCACATCCGGGGTGTTAGGGGACTGGTGTGGTGGCCCTGGGTGTTAGTGGACGGGTGTGGGTCACTCCGGGTTTTTTATGGACTGGTGTGGTAAACATCCGGGGTGTTGGGGACTCGTGTGGGTCACATCCTGGGTGTTAGTGGACTGGTGGGGGTCACATCCTGGGTTTAGGGGACGGTGGGGTGGCATCCGGGGTGTTATGGACTGGTGGGGTCACACCGGGGTGTTAGTGGATGGTGTGGGGGGCATCCGGGGTGTTAGTGGACTGGTGTGGGTCACATCCTGGGGGTTAGGGGACTGGTTGGGGGCACCGGGTGTTAGTGACGGTGGGGCCACATCCTGGGTTTAGGGGACTGGTGGGGGTGCATCCGGGTGTTATGGACTGGTGGGGGTGCATCCGGGGTTTTTGGGACTTTTTGGGGGTCACATCCGGGGTTTAGTGACGGGTGTGGGCCCCACACCCGGGGTGTTAGGGGACGGTGTGGGTGGCTCCGGGTGTTGGGGACTGGGTGGGGTCCATCCTGGATGTTAGTGGACTGGTTGGGTCACATCCTGGGTGTTAGTACTGGTGTGGTGGCATCCTGGGTTTAGTGGACGGGTGGGGTGGCATCCTGGGTGTTATGGACTGGTGTGGTCACATCCTGGTGTTTGGACGGGGTGGGGGTCACATCCGGGGTGTTAGGGACGGGTGGGGTCACTCCTGAGTGTTAGGGGACTGGGTGGGTCACATCCGGGTGTTAGGGGACGGTGTGGGTCACATCCGGGTTTTAGTGGACTGGTGTGGGTCACACCCTTTGTGTTAGGGGAAGGTGTGGGTCACACCCCTGGGTTTAGTGGACGGGTGTGGTAATCCTGGGTGAGTGGACTGGTGGGTCACATCCGGGGTGTTTAGGGGACGGTCTGGGCACATCATGGTGTTAATGGATGGTGTGGGTCACCCCTGGGTGTTGGGACGGGTGTGGTCATACCCGGGTGCAGTGACGGTGTGGGTCACTTCCTGGGTTTAGGGACGGTGGGGGGTCACATCCGGGTTTATGGATGGTGTGGGTCACATCCTGGGGTTAGTGGATGGTGTGGTCACTCTGGGTGTTAGTAACTGGGTGGGTTCCCCGGGGTTTAGGGGACGGTGGGGTCACATCCGGGGTTTTTTAGTGACTGTGTGGGTCACTCCTGGGTGTTAGTGGACTGGGTGGGTCACACCCGGGGCGTTATGGACGGTGGTCACACCCGGGGTGTTAGTGGACTGGTGTGGGTCCATCCTGGGTGTTAGGGACTGGTTGCACACATCCTGGGTTTTTTGGGGACGGTTGGGTCACATCCTGGTTTTTAGTGGACTGGTGGGGGTCACATCCGGGGTTTAGGGGACTGGTGGGGGTCACATCCTGGGTTTTGGACTGGTGGTCACATCCTGGGTGTTATGGACTGGGTGGGTCAATCCGGGGGTGTTTGGACTGGTGTGGGTCACACCCTGGTGTTAGGGGGACGGGTTGGGGGTCACACCCTGGGTTTTGTGGAGGGTGTGGGTCATATAGGGTTTTAGGGGACGGGTGGGTCACATCCGGGGTTTTAGGGGACGGGTGTGGGTCACATCCTGGGTGTTAGGGGACGGGTGGTCACACCCTGGTGTTAGTGGACTGGTGTGGGTCACACCGGGGTGTTAGGGACGGGTGTGGGCCCAATCCTGAGTGTTAGGGGACTGGTGTGGGGGGGCATCCGGGTGTTAGTGGACTGGTTCGTCACATTTTGGTGTTAGTGGACGGGGGGGTCACATCCTGGGGTTAGTGTACTGGTGTGGGTACATCCTGGGTGTTGGGGGACTGGTGTGGGTCCACCTGGGTGTTAGTGGACTGGTGGGGTCCCACCGGGTTTTAGTGACGGTGTGGGTGGCATCCTGGATTTTAGGGGACGGGTGGGGGTCGCTCCTGGGTGTTAGTGGAGTGGGTGGGTCACATCCTGGGTTTAGGGGACTCGGGGGGGGTCACATCCGGGTGTTAGTGGACGGGTTTTGGGGTCACATCCTGGGTGTTAGGGGACTGGGTGGGTGGCATCCGGGGTGTTAGTGACTGGTGTGGGTCACATCCTGGGTGTTATGGACTGGTGGGGGTGCATCCGGGTTTATGGACGGGTGGGGGTCACATCCGGGGTTTTTAGTGGACTGGTGTGGGGGCACCGGGGTGTTAGTGGACTGGGTGGGTCACACCCTGGGTGTTAGTGGACGGTGGGGGCATCCGGGGGTTTTATGGACGGGTGCGGGGGCATCCGGGGTGTTAGTGACTGGTGGGGTCACATCCGGGTGTTAGGGCTGGTGGGGTCACACCGGGGTTTTAGGGACTGGTGTGGTGGCTCCGGGGTGTTAGTGGACGGGTGGGGGTCACATCCGGATGTTAGTGGACTGGTGTGGTCCATCCTGGGTTTAGTGGACTGGGTGGTGGCACCTGGGTGTTAGTAGACTGGTGGGGTCACATCCGGGGTGTTAGGGGACTGGTGTGGTCACATCCGGGGTGTTATGACGGGTGTGGGTGGACCCGGGGGTGTAGGGGAGGGGTGTGGGTGGCATCCGGGTTTTAGTGACTGGTGTGGTCACATCCTGGATGTTAGTGGACGGTGTGGGCCCAAACCGGGTTTTAGGGGACTGGTTGGGTCAACCTGAGTGTTAGGGCGGTGGGGTCACATCCGGGTTTTTAGGGGACTGGTGGGGGTCACTCCGGGGTGTTATGACTTGTGGG